AAAATTCGTCACCTAAATGCAACTCCATTTTTGCATTAAGAATCTAAATGCTAAAAGCAACCCTGTGATCCTCCAAAATTTCCACGATTCGAACACATGATCTAACTATACAAGATCTGACAAGATGAAGCAAAAGAAAAAAGTAATTATCTGGCAGACGTTTGTAATTTCGGCGCCATGTTATAATCTGTGAAAAGTAAACAAAAAATATGGAGACGAAGAATAAAGAAAAACTGCAAGCAATGTTGTGCACATGTTTGTGCTAACCAATTTATTATTTTTGTACGTGTTTTTGCATCCAATCACCGCGCACTTCATTTTAATTACATTTGCACAAAAAATCACTTAAAAATCACTGAAATAAACCATGGACAAAATACAAATAAAGAAAGAGCAAAACAGAAATAGCAAACTTCAAAATTACGAACGTCACACACTTTTTTCTCAATTGCTATTACAAATGGCTGCTTCTCAACCGGTCAGATCTGATCTAATTGGTTCATGATTCGAACATGGTTTAATGAGAAAAAGTGGCAACATTGCTTTTTCGAGTATGCAGTGGCTAGCTGCGTTTCAGTGATCGCCGAGATTTCATTTATTATTTTACATTAGTTGGATAAAGAAAAAATACGCAAATTCAACATCGATGTGATGCTGATAGAAATCTGGATCAATTTGTGATTAACTCTGTTCGTTTTGTTTCCTCCTAATTAAGTGAGGAAATTTCAATTGATAGCACCGACAAATGAACATAAGTAAACACAAACAAATGATTAAAACGATTAAAGTTTTTGTATTGAATTTTTATAAAATATTTAAAATTTATTTTTTCCTTTTCAGTAGGGTTTTTTGCACATTATCTTCTGCGTGAGAATTGATCGTAATAGATACGGATCTGAATAAGCGACTGGAACACGGCTGTTTGCCATAAGCATACGATTTCGAACTCGCGTAAATGTACATTTGCTAAATGCGATAGCATGAACGCTCTTCGAAAACATATGTTCGAAAATGCTAAATGTTGAATTTTAAATGCAGCAAAAACGCTGTATAAGGCGGCATATTTTCCAACGGATTTGAATTATTAAATAAATAGTAAAAAATCGAAGGAAGATATACCAAAACACTTCATACGGATAGTTTAAGTGATACTATCGTCATAAATCAACACACTAAACTAATTTTTGCCAAATTTATTGAAAATAAACTGATAAAAAATTCTAGTGAAAAACTACAGTTGGTTTGATTTCAAAATGGGCGACGACGCTGAGGAGCCTTGTGGCTCCTAAGGTACGAAAGGAAAATATACTACAAGACCGAATTCTTTGACGAGAGAGACATTTAGAAAAGTTAAAGTCGATGAACAGACAGACAATGGACAAAATATTTTCAACATTTTCATAAGGCCGTTAAACATAAATAGTGCGACATTGAATCAAAAAAAGATGGAGAAAGTAATTAATTTGTACGACGAGAACTATAAAGTGCCGACGCAATACCTACTACAACCGAAAGAAAACCTATTAATACTGTAGCGTTATCACGAGTGCTTAAAAACTTGAAATATGTATACATTGACGACGCACAGTGGGCCACCTAATACAAGTTAGCCGGAAAATAATATTTTATTGGTTCTGATGCTTGGATTTGTCGTGAAAAGTGGAAATAAAGAAATTCAGCTTAATCGGGGATCGAATGGATGGCTCCAGGGGTCCTTTGAGAAGGGTTTGTAGCAAAAACGGTATATTGAAGGTATCTATATATAAATACGCCACAATAAAATTTTGAGCCCCCTTTTTTGAGGGCATCGTTCGCTCGATTTCAATGAAATATATCTCTAATCCAGAAATGTTAACCCCATTATACAGGGGGCGTGGCATCTGGCATACATACTAAAATGTGAAAACCGATATATCTCTAAAATTACAGGTATTGGAAATGGGGGCGTGGTACTTCCCATTGTTAGGTTAGGTTGTTGTGGCAGACCCCGGAACAGGGGGAAACACTTAGACATTAATTAGATTTTCCATTGTGTTACCACATTACACAAGTTCTTTGAACGGTAACTAAGATATTCTATTTTAAAAACTGAGATAAGCGCTGGGTGCTCAGAACAAAGTTCCGCAGGCAGCTGGTGTCCACTCCGGAGAGCTTTTCAGGAGTGTTGGAGAAATGAGCACCGAGGTGCTTAAATCTTAGTATTGCGAATACGGGCCAACTGAGAAGGAAGTGATCTGTGACGGTGTTAAGTCGCTCCGCGTGGGTTCCTAAAGTACAATCTCCGGTCAGTACACCTGTGAGAATCAAGAGGTGGCGCTTAGCCAGCTGCAGAACCTCCCTTGATCGCCTGCGGTCGACAATCGGCCAGAAGGACCTTGCAACTTTGCATGTCGGGGTTTTCGCCAGCGATGGCTGAGCCGACTGTGAGCCCATCTGTCCACAGCGGGCCACATGTTGCCAGTGAAACTCCTACGTCCTCCCTTTCCGAGGTTATGGCCTCGAGGGTTCCCTGCCTAGCCAATTCATCAGCCCTACAATTTCCAGTTATGTCACTGTGTCCCGGTACCCAAATCAGCTTGATTTGGAAGTATTCCGAGGCACCTGAGAGAGAGGTCAGGCATTCCCCGACCAGTTTCGATCCTACCATAAGCAGTGATAAAGGTCGGTTCGTTACCCCTATTACAAATACCTAATTCCTCATTTAAAATATAATCAAAAAGTGACTCACCTCTCGCGTTGATATCTGAGCTTCCCCAGCACAAGTGCCTCGAGTTTGCATCCGATCCAATGACAATATCGGCATTTCGTCACCTCGCTTCGGCTATGGTCTCACGCAGCAATAGTGGAGGTGGCTCTACCTCGTCATCAGCCGCCATGTATTCAGATACGAGCCAGAGCTCTCTATCGCCGCCCTCCAAGCTAACCGTCACAATGTCCTCATTGCTGAAATTAGGTAAAATTAGTGCTTTGAATTCGTTCAGGATCTTGGTCTACCTGCTTGTTTCTGCACCATCAGTTTAAGTTTAGGCGTCCTAATCCCGGAAATACTGGTACTGCTCAGCCACGGCTCCTGGATGAGGACTACGTCGGTTCCACCTTGCTCTAGGTGAATGACGAGATTTGCGGACACCGCCCTAGAGTGTTGGAGATTTACCTGCAGGATCTTCATCCTACAAAGAGGCTAGAAGCCTCTCGTCCTCCGCCCTGTCATAGAACCGCCCGATGCTGATGGCGGATCCCTCGGTTGAGAGAGCGTCCCCAGCTCTTTTGGTTTCTGACGTGACGGATTCTACCTCCATGCTCAAAATATTTTACCAACGTATATCGTGAATAACATACTAAAATAGTATTTACTGGAGTAGACAAAGCACAAAATAAATGTTCCGAAAAATATTTTAGAATTCTAAGAATTTTTTAGGTTTTATACACAAGTGCTATAAACATGAAAATTTTTCGAAAAATTTTTTTGAAATTTTGTGATGTTTCACATCTTTACATTTTAGGATGGATTTCAGAATAAATAAAGCTCTCAAAATTTTGAAAAATATATAAATTTCTAAAATCTCAATAATTTTGTACATTTCAAAATATTCTCATTCTACCAAAATTTCTGGAATCTCCCAGATTTCGATAGTTTTTAAAATTTTGGATATTATCCAAAAAACAAGAAATCTCAATAAAGTTAATATCATAAAATTCAACATTTTTATTTTTTTTTCTAAACCTGCAAAAATATTCAAACTTGCTGTGACTTTCAACTATGTATGTAAAATAGTACAAACAGGGTACGAAAATAAACTGTACAAAACAATTCCCATTTGCTCATCGATCATCATATCATTTGTGGTTTTGTACAGTTTTGTAAATAGTCAGAAACAAATTGTAAGATTCACTGTCATTTTCCCCAACGAGAAACGTTTGCTTTTCGTTTGTGACAATTGTACCATAGGGTACGTTTTATATGTATGCAAACGTTTCAATTACGTGAAAAATAATTTTTTCTGTAAATTTTCATATCCAATTCAATTAAAAAACATTTTTATTTTTTTTATTCATTGCAGCCATTCGTTTTGTATTTGTTTATTGCATATATGTACATACATAAATATATTTTCCCTGCACGATTCATTTCGTTTGTTGTTTCGTCTGTAACTACTAAACTACTGTAGTGTACTATCGCCAAAGTGAACTCAGCCGTTTTGTTTCGTATTGTACCGAACTGTTAAAGTAATAAACGAAACGAAATAGTAACGTACAATATAGTTTATTTTCGTACACTGAGTTCAAATTCAAAAATACAACAAAAAAGTAAAAATTAAAAATTAAAAATAATTTTTTACCAAAGGTCCTATTTCGAACATCGAAACCCCATATCTCGATTTCGAAGGCTAACTTTGAAAAACGGAGAAATTACTTTTTCACTTATGACTCAATGTCTTAAAGAAAATTGTTTAACTTGCTGCTTAACTTTCTTCTTAACATGGAAAGTAGCAATCAATTGCAATTTAGTATTATATATTAGTCGATTGCCAAAGGTCACACAATGAGATATCAACGAATATTCGATATATCCCCAATTCCCCACCCTGCACCGCCGCCCCCTGTATCCGCCACTGTTTATACTTATGTACGTATGGATGTGCATATGTACATATGTATGTATGTTATATACTTTTTTCGCGTTTTCTGTGATTTACATATTCTTCTTCTAAGCAATACGCGATCTTTGCGGTGGGCATGCTTTGTTTAAGGGAAAATCCCCATGCAATCTGTATTCCATGTACCAAGGTGTACACATACTATTTATGTACATATGTATGTACGATGTACGAATGTGTATTGCACATATGTATGTATGTATGTATATAAGAACTTTCATTATAATCTACGTGTGCTCCCGCATATAGATATTTATGTACATACATATTCACTTATGCATCAATTATCAGTAATACAGTAAGGGAAACTTTGAAAAAAATTTTATTTAGCAGCATTTTCTATTGAGACAGGTTTGTTAGTTGCTTCCGATCATTTGTTGCGATCGGTATGGCTTTTCTCTCAACCAGGCTATTGAGCATTCTATGCCTAACGTTTATTCCTGCGGGATTTGTACTGGGTACCAAGAATATCGCATCGCCTGAGGTTAGAGTAAATTTACCGGGACAAGGTGTAGTCATTGGCAATTGGAATACTACACAATGGACAGGTCAGCCGTACATGCAGTTCCGTGGTATACCCTATGCGGAGCCGCCAAGTGGAGAGATGCGATTCAGGGTAGTTAACTTTGTATATTTGGAATATAAATAAACAGTCAATAATCTTCTTCAATTCAATTCTTTTAGCTATCGGTGCCGCGCAAGCCATGGTCTGAACCCTTGCGAACCACCGAATACGGTCGAATTTGTCCGCAATTATTTACATATAATCGCTTGCCAGCTGATAAGCTAAAAGGGAATCTAGAAGACTGTCTTACGCTAAATGTTTTTACAAAAAAGGTGAACTCTCGTATCTAAGTTTATGATGAAATTAGCTCCATAATGTTTTTCTCGATTACCAACTTACTGAACACTCAGCTAAATGCCAAACAGCCAGTGATGTTCTACGTTCATGGCGGCAGCTTACAAGTTGGCTTCGCTTCAGATCATCAACCCGGCTACCTGCTTGAGGAAGACGTTGTGCTCGTCGTGATTCAGTATCGTCTCGGCATACTCGGTTTCTCAGGCACACAAACTGAAACCATGCCCGGCAACCTAGGCCTTCTGGACACGATTTTGGCACTGCAATGGGTGCAGAAACACATTTCAGCATTCGGTGGGGATAAGACACTCGTTACAGTCTTCGGTGAAAGCTCCGGTGGGGAACTGGGTGGCGCGTTGCTAGTGAGCCCCAAAACACCACCATCGACATTTGAACGTCTAATCATACAATCCGGCTCGGTTGTGGATAAAGTGGCTGTAAATCAGGAGCCACGCGAGCAGGTTGAACGTGTTTGCCAAGCTTTAAAGTGTGAAAAGTGTACGCAGCTGGATGAAATGCAACGTTGCTTAAAGCAGGCGCCAGTGTTGGACCTACTTAAGGCAGCAGAGAGCGTAAGTGCGCTACTTTTATTTGTCGTAGTTTTTGTAAAATGTTTTCAATATCTCTTTTTTCTTAAGGAACGTTATGGTTTGATTGTCGGTGACTATTATGGCAGCATTCCGCAGCATCCGGCCAAACTTATTGAAGCCACAAATAGAAGCGTGCCCTTGCTGACCGGTTTCACCAAGCACGATGGCTCGCTGGTGCTGGCTTGTCAGTTTTTGTAAAACCTTGAGCAAATTATAATTTTTTAACAAGTGCTTTTTTACTATTAATATGTATAACAGGGTTCTATGAAGACTTCAAAGCTACTCATCCAGATATGAGCGCCGTAACAGTGGGCGAATTTGCCACAGGTCTGATGAATTGGATGAACGACACAACCGGCTTGACCAATAATGCTTTAACGCGCCTTTTATTCCCTGCGGAGCTGTGGCATAGCTCCGATCATAAGCGCGCTTTGCCAGCATACTTCGATGTAGGTTAAGAGATTCACCCTAATGCTAGGCAAATTCCTTTTAATACTCGTCTAAAATGTCTTTAAAGCTAGCCAACATTCTCTTTTTCAAATCGACCATGATCGGATTTACTAATCAATTATTCGCGAAAGCCGAACGTGCGCCGATTTATTTCTATACCTTTGACTATGCTGGTGAGCAGACCAATTTTGGCTTTGACACGGGTAACTCACAGTACCCTTTTAACGGCGGCGTACACCACACAGATGAGTTAATTTATCTATTCCCCATGAAGCAGCTGAATGCGTTGGATACTGAAATGGCGAAAAAGATGGTCGCTTTGTGGGTCTCTTTTGCCATCGGTGGGCAGCCGAAGGTAGCTGGAGGTCCACCAATTTTGCCCATGAAAAGTGAGTGGATTCTATTTTGTGTACCAGAACTTCTCTAAGATTCATACTTTATAGCACTTCGAGGCCCATACTTCCATATAAACAAAGAAATCAAAAATGATGACGATCTACTGAAGGAGTTCACGGCAACCATAGACGATCCAGAAAACCAGAAGCTCGATCGTCCTAATACAAGTTTTTGATTTGAATGAAGAAACCTGTCTGAAAAATCTTTTTGTCTATTTAAATGCAACGTTTACTTCTTTAATTAACGCAAATAAATCATTTTCTATGTAAGTCGTCTACTACATTCGTAAGATTGTCTCACATTGCTTTATCGATTGGCTAAGTATTGGCTGGGATTGGCTGATGGCGAATAACTCTAGGGTTTCCTCAAGCTTTCGAAGGCACACAAACACACACACACACACGCTTGCAATTATTTACCCGTTTATAAATTCTAGATTTTGCTATTTAAATTGTAGCTCGGTTCAGGGTTTAAGCAACCATTACCACACAGCTTTGGCTGTGTTTTGTTTTTATCATTTACCATTTAAACCACTTTGTTTTTATTTAACCCTTATCTATTTCACCCGCTCAGAATTCGAATAACGATACCCGCACGCAAGACACACTCACACACACATATGTATGTATGTATGTATGTATATTTTGACATGTTCTTTCCACCCGCATTGCAATTTCATTTTACTTGATTTTTTAAGCGTTCTTAACTTGGATTTGTCATGACGGTCATGGCGGTCTTTGGCCGCTTTGTCTTCATTCACCACAAGTCAACGACTGTGCATTGTTTTTGTTGTGGCTTTTGTTTTTTATTTGCTTTTAGCTTTTCTTAATCGAAAGAGATTAAGATTTGCACAAGTTTCGTCGAAATGACAAACTAGTCTAACTAATCTTAGCATTTGCTTGGAAAACTTGCATGGATTCCGATTATTCGCTGGTAAACATAATGAACGGAAACAACGTTGCATTAGAAAAATCAGTAGTCGAAAATCAATGACATTTTGTAAGGCACAAGAAAGAAGTGACGGTATATTGACATTTGTAGAAAAAACAAAAACAATTTGCATGTCGAATTTAGCTCAGTGGGCAGACCAGGGGTTTTATAGGCCTGTGTTGTTGCTTCAAAGCCCAATAGCAGCTATAACTTCGATAATATATACATATGTACCTAAATTGCTTTTGGTTTTTTTCCCAAAAATTCTTCATTAAAACGGCCTTAGAGTACATCTCCACAACAAGCTTTACAGGCGTTCGCCGCTTTTCAGGCCTTCAGTTACAGAATTCCGCTATTGCTGAAAGCCTGAAAAGTTTGATTTGGCGTTATACTCTTAAGCTACCCTATAAACATTAGGACTCATTTTGGAGTCAGCAAAGTACCAGAAATCTGAGTTGCTCGTTATAAGCTCGTAAAATTGTCAGAAAGAGCATGTTTACCTTCTTAGAAGGACACGCCATTACGAGTGCAAGATAGGAGTCATATTAGAGTCTGAAATATGACGCTTTTCTGAGGCTTCGAAACAAAAAGTCTTTATATGTAATTGTGACTATAAATACGATTAGATTAGACTAGATTTCGAGCAGGGAGCAGGTCACCTAGTTACCGCGACCGAAACAATTTATTGTAACAAAGCTTTACTCAAGTACATGTTATCTATGATCCACGTACTGCTAAGAAACCTAGCGAGGTCCTTAGGCTTAAAGCCATTTAGGTCGTGTGCTTCTAGATACAGTGATCCTAGGAAGCGAAGTCTGGCCCGAGGGCTTTACAGTGGCACATAATATGCTCTGCTGCTTCCTGTTTTTCGTTACACAACCTACACTGGTCAGAGATAACAACTCACATGTTTGACAAGTGTTTCATTACTCTACAGTGGCTAGTAAGAAAACCTGTCTTACTTCATACTTCTTCAGTTCCCCTTGTTGATATATCCGGGATGAAGGACTCTTCATCCAGATATAGTAGTTTCGCCTAACGGAGCTCCATGGCAGACCGGTAAAGGGTGCTGGGTCTATGAATACGTGTGCAGCCACTTTTTTGGCGAGAATATCTGCCAAGATTTGGCGAGACTCCACTGTGCCTCGGTACCCATATGAGGTTTACCAGTTCCTGGAGGCGATAAAAGCTGAAGACAGTCCCACTCCAGATTTCAGGTGCGCCACTCTGTGTTTGTAGATGTGTTTTTGGTGGGCCCACTTTCCACATACTGCCTCAGATAAAGCACAATGGCCGGAAAGACAGAGTTACCTTGCCCCATGCAGGTGAAAAGGAGCAGTCTGGGATGTATGCCGTAAATTCCTGCTCTGACGCTGTGGTCNATTTGTAAGGCACAAAAAAGAAGTGACGGTATATTGACATTTGTAGAAAAAGCAAAAACATTTTACATGGCGAACTTAGCTCAGTGGGTAGACCAGGGGTTTTATAGGCCTGTTTTGTTGCTTCAAAGCCCAATAGCAGCTATAACTTCTATAATATGTACATATGTACCTAAATTGCTTTTGGTTTTTTTTTTCCAAAAATTCTTCATTAAAACGGCCTTAGAGTACATCTCAACAACAAGCTTTACAGGCGTTTGCCGCTTTTCAGGCCTTCAGTTACAGAATTCCGCTATTGCTGAAAGCCTGAAAAGTTTGATTTGGCGTTATACTCTCAAGCTACCCTATAAACATTAGGACTCATTATGGAGACAGCAAAGTATCAGAATTCTGAGTTGCTCGTTATAAGCTCGTAAAATTGTCAGAAAGAGCATATTTACCTTCTTAGAAGGACACGCCATTATGGGTGCATTAGAGTCTGAAATATGACGCTTTTCTGAGGCCTCGAAACAAAAAATCGTTATATGTAATTATGACTATAAATACGAGTAGATTAGATTAGATCACCTAGTTACCGCGACCGAAACAATTTATTGTATCAAAGCTTTACTCAACTACATGTCATCTATGATCCACGTACTGCTAAGAAACCTAGCGAGGTCCTTAGGCTTAAAGCCATTTAGGTCGTGTGCTTCTAGATACAGTGATCCTAGGAAGCGAAGTTTGGCCTGAGGGCATTACAGTGGCACATAATATGCTCTGCTGCTTCTTGTTTTTCGTTACACAACCTACACTGGTCAGAGTTAACAACTCACATGTTTGACAAGTGTTTCATTACTCTACAGTGGCTAGTAAGAAAGCCTGTCTTACTTCATACTTCTTCGGTTCCCCTTGTTCATATACCCGGGATGAAGGACTCTTCATCCAGATATAGTAGTTTCGCCTAACGGAGCTCCATGGCAGACCGGTAAAGGGTGCTGGGTCTATGAATACGTGTGCAGCCACTTTTTTGGCGAGAATATCTGCTACTTCATTACTCATGACTCCACTGTGTCCCGGTACCCATATGAGGTTTACCAGTTCCTGGAGGCGATAAAAGCTGAAGACAGTCTCCAGATTTGAGGTGCGCCACTCTGTGTTTGTAGATGTGTTTTTGGTGGGCCCACTTTCTACATACTGCCTCAGATAAAGCACAATGGCCGGAAAGACAGTTACCTTGCCCCATGCAGGTGAAAAGGAGCAGTCTGGGTTGTATGCCGTAAATTCCTGCTCTGACGCTGCGGTCAGTCTTTGAGCTGTGAGTATATCAGATGTGGCTGCGCTTCCGGGTTTAGGTCTTTCGTTGTCATAGGTATTCCTGTCGGGGAAAAGACCGGAAGGCACATGTCCACAAAACTTATTCGCAGTCCATCTTGTTGTTCTATAACCCTGAAGAGGGAAGGGTGCATAAGCTTCTTTTCCTCTACACTGTCCCCTCAGATGAGCCTTGCTGTAAACAGTAGAGACTCTTTCTTGAGGTCAAGAAGAACCTCGATAGCCGCAGTTGGTGTTATTCTCATCACGCCAGTAATGCCCACGCAGCCCAGTCGCTGTAGCTTGCTGAGCTTGGCCAGCGTGGACTTCAATTGTGTCTTCTTCCACCAGACGGGTGCAGCATAAGTGGGAATGGGTTTGGAGATGGCATCATACATCCAATAGACCAGTTTAGTTCTGATGACTCAGTTCCGGCCGGTCCAGATAAAGGCCCTGAGCTTTTGAATAGTTTGATCTAGGTGCGGACACCATTAGAGCTTGTCATCAAGGATAACTAGTAGATATTTGACCTCTTTGGGGAAGTGTATTTTTCACCTTGAAAGAATGGTTCTACTACTTTGTCCCTTTTACTTTAATTGGGATTTACAGTTAACCCATTGTTACTAAACTAATTGGCGATTATGGCCAGAGGATTCTGTAGGAGGTTGGAGATAGTGTCATCGAGACTACCTATGATTAGGGTTAAAATGTCTTCCGAAAAATACTGAACGTCGAAGCCGTTTTCACTAGCCAAATGGTAGGCTTAAAAATGCGTTATTCGTACACAGCTAGATTAAAATAATAGAAGTTTAAGAGTTCAACGAGGTTCAATCGTGGAGCTTTTCAGCTGGCACTACCTAAGCTTGTATGTTTCTCGTGTTAACGAAAACTCACCACCGCATGACGGTGATGTTGCCGTATCTTCTCTCTTTCTCTATCAACAGCAATTTTATATGGTAATACGGACGGCAAGTACGGAATGGTGCTCCGTCGATGGCTGGATGATCTCTAAGCCGAATAGATGGCTGGTATCATTTCAGGTTGCTTGACTGCTGAGGCATGTCGTCGATGTTTTTGCAAAACCGCCCATCGAAAAGTTGCAAAACCGCCTAAATCGCCATTGTGACACAAATGAGTTTTGGTAACCCTGAACTCCAGGCATCGAGATTTATGCATAAGAATCGTAAAATCGTAAAATCGTTATTAAAACAACAGATTTGTAAAATGATAGCTAGAGAAAATGCCGCCTATCAAGACAATGCCTTCAAAGAAAACCCGTTTTTTCGCTCTCCTGTAAAATTTGAGTGCCGTAAGATAGAATAGATTAGTTAGGGAATTGGTTTGGGCCCAAAGCGTTCGTCAGACTTCTACTCCCTGAAAGGTGTCTTCCACTTGAAAACATTTCCTGGTATGTGCGTTTTTAGAAAAAAACAACCCGAGTCGGTTTCGTTTGCCCCTACCCAAAAGCTTTGTATGGAAAACTAAAAATTAGGTTCCTAACTTGCGTGAGGTTGATTCTCGTTGATATTTCTTGAAAATTTTTTGTTTTTGCATAGTACTTCCCAGACTTTTTAAGATCATGCAATAATTGAACGGAGGTTTAGTTGATCTTGAAAAAGCATACCTGTTATGTCCATTGTCTTTGTGTCTTCATCAACTTAGAAATCATCTCCTGCTCTGCCTGGCT